AGCAAAAAATCAGAAAGATAAAATATTTTGCATTTCAAATAATACATATTCCTAGATTATTTTTTGAAAAATTCTAAAAACAATGTTTACAATAGTTATTCAAATTTAAAATATGTTGGATCTTTTACATAAATAAAACTTCTTTTGTTAAAACCAAATGAAAATACAGGGCTCCTCCTCCACCTCCTCCTCCTCCTCCAAGAAAGAAAGTTAGGGTTTGTGCCTCTCGCCGGCGCCGGCGCAGGTCCGCCTCGTCTCCGGTGGCCCTAGGGCCATGGAGGCGCGGTGGATCCTGGCAAGGGCCGGCGGGAGGGCTCCATTTTTAGTCGGTTTTTTCAATCTTGTTAGGGTTTGTGTCCTATTTTCAGGAAGGCGAGACGGCGGCGGCTCCCTGAAGATGGAATAAAGGTCTCCCCGCCTAGCCCCCGTTTCGGCGGTGCGTCTAGCATCGTTGGTGGGCGTGTGGAGGTGTGTCTCCGGCAGATCTATCTTTGGTGGATTTGCTCGGATCTCGTCGATGTTCGTCTACGTTCGTGTGTCTTCGGTTTGGATCCTTCCGATCTACGTTATTTTTCATCGGCGGCGGTTGCTGTTTTGGGGTGCTGGTCCTATGGGGCCTTAGCACGACGACTTCCCGACTGTCTACTACAACAAGTTGTGTCCGGCTCCGGCGATGGAGGGGCGATGACGGCGGCGCGCCTTCGGCTTGCTTCGGTGCTTGTAGTCGTCGCTAGGTGGTCTACGAATCTGGATGTAATTTTTATTTCTGGTAGGATGTAATTTTTATTTCTGGTATTCGTTGTACTGCCATGATTGAAGATGAATAGATTGGAAGTTTTTCCGCAAAAAAAAAACAAATGAAAATACGACTGGCAATAAATAAACTAGATAAAGCAAAAAACAAAACTAGAAATATGACCTAAAACACTCCAGTCGCTTCACTATAGTACACGTACTCGGTCCAGTCAACAGAAAGCTCCCGCGCTACCAGGTTCTCAGGAACAGACAACATGTTGGCAATCCAATTTCCCGCATATGGCGATGGATAGCCAAGTAACGTGACCCCCTCTGCTACTACGTATGATAAGCCCAACTCCAGTTTCTGGTTTCGGAAAGGTTCAGACCAGTTTTCCTTTTCGCGAGGTATTTTCCTCGAATTTCCCTTTTTAATTAATGAATTGTTTTTCAATTTCACGAACGTTAATGAGGCGTTGAAGATTTTCTTTTCATTTTTTCGAACATTTTGAATTGGTCAACATTTTTTAGTTTCGCGAGAACGTTTTTGAATTCAAGACCGAAAATCCATATCGCAAACATAGTTCAATTCGTGGAAGTTATTTTCATTTCCTGAAGTCTATTTTAATTTCCGAAATAAATTATAATTTATGAACATTCTTTTGACGTCATGAACATTTTTTTAACTCACAAACGTTATTAAATTCAAGAACATATTTTTAATTCACGATCATTATTATAAAGTCATGAACAACTTTGTTTTTTTATTTCACAAAGATGCCTTTAATTTGTTAACATTTTTTATTGACGAACATTGTTTTTGTAATTCTTGAAAGTTGTTTGAATTCGTAGAACCTTTTAGGTTTTACGAACATTTTTTTACAACTATGAATATTGTTTGAAAGCAGAAACAATCTTTGAATTCATGGACATTTTCAAAATTTATGAACATATTTAATTGTTAGAGAGTACTGCATTTGAAACCGACCAAATTTATAAAAAAAAGTTGAAAAAATCACACTAATAAAAACAAAGAATCTTGTACCCCTAGCATCGCATTCTTATTGAGTCAGCATTGTAACACTACTGACTTGGGTAGGGTATGTGTCTGCTAGCCCACCAATGCCCTACGCATTGCTTAGGCGGTCCCTTAAGATGTGTCGCTGCTTTGGAGCAACTAACTAAAGGTTATCCTTGGGTTACCCCAGCAGGGGTCATTTTTTGGCATGGAGGGCGCAAGTGGTGTGCCACACTGCCACATGTCGTATGTTGGGTGCTTCCTCTATATTTGGGTTTTGTTATTTTTCCGTACCTGTTTGCGGATAGATGATTTTTCTTGGCTCTTGAGTTTTTTCCTAGTTTTTGTTATGTTTTCAAGGGAATTTTTTGTTTTTTTTAAGAAACAGTGTTTTCCTATAAGAGGCGTAACATGTGCTTTTGCAAGAAACACAGTTGTGCTTCCCGAAAAAGCAAAAAGCATAGCGTGTGCTTTTTCCCCGAGATGAAGCACAACCTTACTTTCGCGAGAAGCACAACCTCTACTTCTTCAGTAAAAGAAAAAATCACTACTTGTGCTTCCCAAAAAATAGAAAACTGCAACCGTGCTTTCAAACGCCGAGTTTATTGGTATTCGTTTTATGTTCCATGTTTTTTGGGTTTTTATTTTTTTGGATTTTTTTTGTTTTCCCTTTTTTTTCATGAAAAAAAAGTTCGCCGAAACATATTAACATGGGATCTAACTTCAAAGTTCTCAATGAGAGAAATCCAATAGGAAAAATGGTTCCGTATTTGGACGTATGGTTCAAGAGATAAAACATTTTGAATAAACAAATCTACAAGAAAAGCTCACGGGTTGTGAGAAGTGGCGCACATGAAGTGAGCCACTTGTAAACAGTGGAGAAAGCTGGGGAGTGGCCTTTGCAAAGAGTATCCTTTAACTAGTGATTTTGATGAATCTAGACCTGGGTGCGAGTTCGGCTTGGTCCAAAATAATAGAAGGGCAAGCCGAGCTCCTCTTTCGGCCTAGCCAGTTGATGGTCCTTTCGGCCTTGTGGATTTTGCAGACTAAAAATATCCAACCAGGATGACCTACGCGGGGGTGCTTCTATTCTGGGAGACTTGTATGAGATATCACATTAGGTGAGATCGTGAGATCAATCCAAAATTTCATATTTAGACATTTTGAAAAAAATCTGAAATTATTTAACAACATTCATGTGGGGTATGTCTACAACTTAAAAAGAATCAGCTCAAAACTCGATGTACATTTGGAGATTCAAAAAGACAAATTCACATGTGAATAGTGGCAGCTTTGGGTGAATAATACTTTGACACTATTCATGTTCAACTTTGTATTTTTTGTTTATATTAATGTAGGTCGAATTAGGAGCTGAAACTTTTTTGAGGTTGAACATGTAGGTTTATTTTTCAAAAAACAATTGATCTCAACTAATGTGCGATCTCACACAAGTCTTCCCTGCCCCCATTTCTTAGAATGGGCTAGAAAATCGCTCACCCCGAAATATGGGCCTGGCCCATTTATCATATATTTCACACAAACCTTTATGTCCAAATTTTTTGGGGAAAAGTTCCTTCCGAGTTTTCTGTTCGCTTTTCATTCCATTTTGAAAAATTTATTAAATTTCCTGAAATATAAAATGTACTAACATTAGAAGACAAACCAAATGCATGCATTTTACATAATTTAAAAAATACTCATGAGTTTTCAAAAAAATGAATTTCAAATAGTATAATTAAAAAATCGCCCATGTTAATGAAAAAATAAAAGTCTCGGTACACTAGAAAATCAATACAAAAATAAAAGATGTGAAGAAAAAATGGAAAATGGAAAAGGAAGAAATGTTATAGAAATGAAGAAAAAGAAAGGCCAGAAAAAGAGAACTAAAAAACCGGAAGAAATCATGTACATAAACAAGAGACGTGTTAGATCGAAAGAGCACGGTCTATCTCATTTATTGCACATCCTTTGTGATTTGGGCATCAATTCTACATCGTGAGCATAGAATAGGAAATGAACCCGGCAACCAGAAAGTCCGTGTTTATGATCAAATTTGATCTTCAGGTACCTTCATACCAAAAATAACATCAAGATATGGAAACTTGACAAGGAGGTGAAGGGCATGCTCAGGACATCATCAAAAGTTAGCTTGCAACCAATGACACCAAGGGCTACAAAACCGAACTGATCGGGCTAATGTTAGAGGCATACACACCACATGATCATGGTCATGACCCGCTTATATGAATGGACAACATCATAGATGAGTGCAATACCTTCTTCTTCGCCAGGCATGACACTAGCTTGCACATGCTTACATGGGCCATTTTCTTGCGGAGCACACATCCAATGGCAGCAAAAGCTCAACGAGGAAGTGATGAGAGGGTGTGGCAATGAGATTCCCACGGCAAACATTCTCAACAAACTAGGGACAGCCACGACGATCCCCATTGGACAGAACTTCAGAATGGTCGGGGCAAAGGTCGTGATTACTATGATTCTTCAAAGGTTCTCCTTCTCCTTATCCCCAATGTACATCCATGTCTCGATGGACGTGGTCACTCTATTACCCAAGTTTGGTCTTCTCATGATCCTCAAGAACCTAGAGATGTAAAGATAGACGTATGTGTTGGGTGTAACACATTGTTTTGTATTTATTTGACTAGGGTATAGTTTATGTAATCGGTATGTTTACATTAGCTTTGTCAACTCTTGTGTTGGGCTTGGAAAGCCCCATAAGTTCAACTTCATCGATGTTTCTATATGATTGGTTTCCAATAACTTCCATGCCAGAATCACTGTCATCAATGGTTCTAGTGATTTTATTCTTCTCAATCAGGTTGTAGCATGTGTTCCTGATGCTCACGTCTTCAAGTTATGGTTTGAAATCATGGATGGGCTGGCTACTCAATGGTGGTCTTTATGCTTCACCATCTACCGTGACAACATTTTGACTTGCCACGTGCCACATGTATTCACCAAGGTAGCATGCTTTATTTTGATAAAAATCAAGGTAGCATGTGCATTTCTCATTCATTGCTTCAGCGGCCACCTTTAGTAGCATGTCTTTATCCCTCATTCAATTTCACTCAGCATGGATATATCAAACGGCTAAGAATGTCAAACTTTATCTGGTTCACATAAACATGGGTTAAACAAGGCCCTCAATTGTGGCAACTTTCTCTGGTTCACGTAAACATGGGATAAACAAGGCCCTCAATTGTTGTTATAAATAGTACCAATTAAATTAGGAAGGCAACTGGCTGTTGCATGTTGGGTTGCATGGATACTCGCAATCGATCTCTTTTACTCTTTGGCCTCTGCTGAAGTGCCAATCTCCAACAGCTTGTGCGATCGTCTGATCGGCAGAATGAAAAGCAGAAGATATCAATCCGAACTATAAACATGTATATGTTGCATCAAAGAAATAACTTCATAAATAATGGTGTATGATGAATATTTTACATCCTAGATATCGAGTTACCTAATTTAAACACACCCATAAAGAAGAGTCTACCTTATTTCCAAGCCTTGGGGAAATTTGTGAATCCCATGAGATTTTAAATGGTGTTTGGCAGTGGGTGAAGCACGAATCAATGAACAATCCCCACTCCTCCTTATCTTGGACGACTTTCAGATCACCTACCATTGTTTTCCTGAATCCTAGATATAGAACGTTGTTCAGAGAAACGAAAGGTAGTATTCCTACCCGATGCTAGAGAGAAAAGATGCACCAACCATGAAGGACTTCGATTTGTGTGGAATCACAGTCTCGGATGTTAGCCTTGCAAGTCAACCATGACTTTTCGGGAGAGGATTCATCTGGTACTAGTACATTTTGTATCTACAGATCATCAAGGAGCATGTATAAATATATAGCTAATTAGAACTTTTAGTCTAGACGGATGCATGCTTACAAGATGAATATAAGGATCAATTGACACTTAATTACCTGCCAAGAGTCATATCCAGAGTTGAGAATAAAAGTGGGGGTGTTGATGCTCTTAATAAGCTCAGAAGGAAAGAAACACTAGGAACATACATTAAGTACGTTAGCAAATGATTCGTTTCAATTACTATTGAGCAAGATACAACAAAATCTGTGTGTGCAAGAAAATCAAAGTAAACGATGGTTCGGGACTTCTAACTGCGTACATCCAGTGGTTCCATCTTAGCGAGGCAGTCCTTGGGCAAAACTTTGCTAACATTCTGAAAGAAATTCATCAGCAAGAAATGACTCAGTGACAAACTTACAATGCATGAATGTGGGCATAAGTAGTAAACTACATATAAAGATAAAAAATAATAAAGGTTTTACATATGACATTACAGCCTTTTTAATATAAAAAATGCAACACAATTAGAAGAGGGCTAAACAAAAGACTAGATCAATCATAGACTAAGAAATGTTTCTTTTTGGTTTAAAGTAGTTGCCTCCCAAGCAGCTCACCTGGAGGTGAACAACCCCATTGTACACGGACCGGAAAAAACTTTCTCCGTCTATATCCTTTCTGTCAGAGAAAAGTAATTAGCACGTAAAAACATGTAAAGTGGAATAGCTAGTGACCAATATTTGTTTAGTTTTAAGTGTAGTCTTACTTGTCAAGAAAAAATCCAGCATCAGAAAAACATTTAACTGCAACCTTCCGAGGAAAACGTGCACTAAAATCATCACAGTGCAGTAGTGTGGCTAAACCACCAGAAGAACAACCTGCAAGAAGGGCCTGATCCACGATGATATTTCACATGGTCAATTATTGTTCAAGAATCGCAATAGATATGAGATATATGCTTCTTGGTAGCTTAAAACACAACAACGTTGAAATATTAGTAAATTGTTGTTATGTATGACCTGTTTAGCATTAGCAAGTCCTTTCTCCATGAGTTCATCAATGATCGCTTCCCAAATGCGCAACCCTCTGAAGAATAGCCTGTTTCCATCCTAATAACCCCATCCATTAAGAGAATATCATTGTAATTAATAAAATAAGTAAACAATGGAATATCAAACGAGAGCACAAAAAGAAAATATATAGCCCTACTTGATCTTCATACTCAGCATCCCCAGAAAATGACGCCCCATCACAATACCGCACGAAAACTTTATTCCAGTTGTAGAAATCTAATTGATAATCATGTGAGTAATCAAAACTAGTGCAAGGCCGGCCGGCAAACATATTCAAGATAGGTAGGCGGCAACTAAGAAATGGAACTCAGGCCGATTAAACACTTTGATCAACAAAACTATGTCAGAATAACAGAACATTGCAGATTACCAGAATTTTGGCTCTGGTCGTTGCTGAAAATTCCAGCATACTGCACCGCTTCCATAAAGTTAGATGAACCAAGCGCCGATTTTGTGTGCTTCGAACAAGCCTCAACGGTGCTGCACCACCCTCCTCCCTGAGAAACACCGGATTTACTCGCTGCAGGTCTGAAATAGATGACATATTTCTACATTCTGCGTGGTGTTTGTTAATTAATTAATAAGCTATTTTTACCATCAATCTTAGTATGGATATGCAACTGGAAATTATGCCCAGTAAAATAAAATGTAAATAATTTTGTATTTACTGGTGGTTAAACATGGATAAATCAATTTCACGCACTCTAGGACGTCATGTATTTACTGGAGTATGAATGATAGTAACCTCTAGATAGACGAGCCAGTTGTGAGATCCGGAGCCGAAGCCTGCCTCCAATTGGTAAGCCGGCGGGCTTCCATCCAAGCACACTGAAATGTATATATGGGATCACCGTTCACAGCGCCAGTATACAAACTTAAGCAGCCCTACTACGTACATGTGAATGATTTTGTTCTGCTACATATAACATGATTTTGCATAAGAAATCGTTGAAATCTAGATAGGTGTACCAAAGCAAATTAAACTTTAGAAGAAGCTAACTGATTCAAATTGACGGCCATACTGGCTCTGATGTGAGTACACAATACTATGCGTACCTGCGCCCTTCTCTGCTGCTCCGGCGAGGAAGGTTAGCTCCGGCGGCCGTCTCACAGTCGTCGGCGGTGAGGACCAAACAAGAGGGCACATCATCACGGAGGCCAGGAGAAGGAGAATAGGCACCAAGCAACCCGGTCGACGCTGCAGGAGCTGCTCGGACGCCATGGCCTTCCCGGTCGCCGGTGTGGTCAATCAGAGACTACTGGCTCGATCTGCAATCTAATCCTTGCTATGCTGAACATACAAACAAACGACGCAGCAATTTCTATTAGTCTATGACCTACCGGCCAGTGGCTGGCATGCATGTTACAGTAACATGCATATGGCCTCGATCGTCGATGGCATCCCATGACAACGTACATATTCCCATGAGATTTCAAGGAATCTCTCGCACAATGTGTAACCAACCACTTCTTAAAAAAAATGATCCCATGAACCAGCTGACTTCTCTTTATAAAATAAACGAATCTGGGCAATACTCACATATTAATCCTAATTAATTATATAATATTTTTGAAGAATAAGAATGCAATAATTTTTGTACTAGTATCGTACACATGCCTTAATCCTAGTTAATGCAATAATTTGTTTTTGATGATTAACCAATGCAATAATTGTGTGATTGCTTCGCTCATACGCAAGGATACCCAGCCGCTAGGGTTTCTCGTGCCTTCCGCCGGCGGTCTACCTCGTTTCCTGTGGCCTTAGGACCATGTAGACGTGGTGGATCTCGACCCTTGCCGGTGGGAGGGCTCCGTTTTGGGATGTTTTTTGAGTTTTCTTAGGGTCTGTGTCCTGCTCAAAGTGGTGAGGCGGTTGCGGTTTTTTAAAATGGAATAAGGTTCTCTCCGCCTTTTCCTTGTCCCGGTGGTGCTTCTAGCATCGTCTATGGAGGTTTGTCTCCGATGCATTTCACATGATTCGGTCGGTATTTGTCTTCGGTGGATCCATGTGGATCTGGTATCTGTTCGTCTGTCTTCATGTGTGTACAGGTTGGATCATTCTGATTTAATTACGCTTCTCTTCAATGGTGGTGGCTCCTAATCTGCTGCGTTGGCCATGTCGGGTCTTAGCACGACGACTTCCCAACTGTCTATTATAACAAGGTTTGTCCGGCTGCGATGAGGGGGCAGGGGGTGGGGGATGACGGGAACCCGCCTTCGGCCTTCTCCAGTACTTGTAGTCATCGTAAGGTGCTCTACTGACCTGGATGTAATTTCTATTTCTAATACTTTGTACTCTACCTTGACAGTAGATAAATAGATCAGAAGTTTTTCCCATAAAGAATAACAATTGTGTATTGAATAGCAACACATGAGCGACGTGTGTAATCCCAGGAGGAAAAACTACCGATTTTTTTTAAAGTAGTGTATCATTAAGAAAGATAGTTCCATTTTAATCCTTGCAGGTTAAATTTAAATATATATTTATTTTACTAGTTTTACCAAAATGCTAGTAGGTAAGTAAAAAGGTTGAAAATATTTTAAGAAAACGTTCATCATGCATCAAATTTTTTTAATCACGTTTAAAAAAAGCATCACATATTTCAAATATTTGACCAAGTTTTTAAAAAGTTTATTGTGTTCAAAATATGTTCATCGTGTTATATAATAAATCACCGGGTATTAAAAATGTTCATAGTGTATTTTAAAAAATACTGGATATTAAAACAATGTTCACTATGTATTTAAAAATCCATGATGAACATGTCCAAAGAAATGATGTACATTTTTTAAATACTCGATGAACAGTTTCTAAATACACAATGAACAGTATCTAGATACATGATTAACATCCTTTAAGAAACAATGAATATTCTATAATACTGATGAACAATTTCCTGATACATCCAATTTTTTAACAATTATATTAATTAGTTTAAATAACTGATTAATATTTTTTGAAATACTGGACAATCCTTTCTCGAGTACACAACAAAAAATTTATAAACGGTGATCATTTTTTATATACGCGCCAAACGATTTTCAAGAAGGTGACATAAATCCTTTTAACATACATGATGAGCACTATTAAGTTCCTAGTATCCTCGGAATTTTTTTAAAGCTTTTTATGCATGATGAACAAAGAAAAAGAATTGGAACACAAATCTTAGAAGAAAGAACAAAAAATAAACGAAATGTATGCCGGGAACCAGAAAAGGGAAAATAAAAGAATGGAAATGAAATCGAAGGAGACAGAATCAAAAAGAAAAAAAGAAAGGAAAAATAAAACCGACCAGGTAGCAGGTTAAAAAGTATGTAAAATCGACAAATAAAAATCGATATGAATCGCACTTCGCCTGGCTGCTTCTGAGTCGGCCATCTAGTGTCGCCCTTAGGCGAGCTGACAATAAGTTTCAAAGCAAGCGAGATATATAGCATCATCTGTCCCACCTGCTGCGACAAAGAGTGTGAGTGGCTCGCGACAGGTTAGCCTCTAATGAACCAGCCCAGTAGGGACCTGTCGCTTGGTTTGTTCATTTGTTATTTTTTCTTTTTGTTGTTTTATTTTCTTATTTTCAAAATATTTTAATGCATATATTACATATATTAATTTACAGATGTTTTTGAAAGCACTCATTTGCACATGTAAAAAATGCTAATGCATTGGAAAAATATTTTTACCCAACTTTTAGAAACTATTGATAGCATTCAAAAACATTCATTACATTAAAAAATGTTCACATGCTAGAAACATGTTAGTCGTATTTTTGAAAAATGTGTACACACTGTTCGTGCATTCAAAAATATGTTTGTCACATTTTACATATATATTTATGTACTGAAAAATATCCACGTAACTAAAAAATGTTTCTTACATTACAAAAAGTGGTCTGGCATTTAAAACTAATCTTCACGTCTTTTAAGGATATGTTTGTAACATCTCAAGAAATATTTATATAATTTTAAAAAATGTTAATGTAGGCCTATAAAAAATGTTTCATACTATTATAAAAATCTTCAATGTGTATTTCAGAAATGTTTTGCATGTATCCTCTAAAATATTCAACATATATTTGAAAAATAATTCGTCCATCGTGTTTTTGAAGAAATATTCAACATGTGTAAAAGATGGTTTGTGTCCATATGAAAAATCTACAACATGTATTTAAAAAATTGGCATCTATTTGAAAAAATAGAAACAAGAAACAGATGAAAACCATAAGAAAAACACATAAAAGCAAATCAAAGAAATAAAATCCACATGGAAGCTAATAAAGCCAGTCCAAATCGGTTCATAGAAGCTTCCCAAAACCGCTCTCTGGAGTTGCAGTATTGGGACGGCCCGCTTGTCTCGCGCTAGACACAAGACGGTAGCAGGTCCTGCGTTGATTTAATGAACACGAGAGGGAAACAATTGACGACGGGCAGATTCTATGGGCTCGGCTTTACATTTATGTGGGCTTGGTACGGGCCTTGTTGACTAAGGTAACAGAACTCGTGAATCCTGATACGCTTCCAAGTGGCTATCTTCCCCTCAAACAAAAACATCCAAGTGGTTAACATTGCTAAAAAAAATCAAAGTGGTTCTCTGGCAAACAGAATTCCCTAGTTAACGCATAGTGCGCCAAATAGATCCCCAACACACAGTAGGTATCGAGCAAGCAACCGAACGGTCCGGCCCATTTGGCTTACAGTGATCAGCGATTTGGGGATCAATTTTTGAAAAGGTTCAGGTTCAACTTTTTACTGGTTTTTTATTTTCATTTTTTGGTTGTGTCTTTTAACAGTTTTCTTTGTGTGTGTTTTTCAAAACTTCTTTTAAAAAAGGTAGACTTCACTTTTTTTTTATTTTTAGAAAACCTTTGTGTTCTCAAAATAATTGGTACTTCAAAAAATGTTCCCTTTTCAAAAATTGTTCGCAGATCAAAAAATGATCCTATATTCAGGATATGTTCGGAATTTCGAAAAATAAAATTTTGTTCTGGAACTTTACAAATGTTCCCATTTTGAAAAAGCATAGATTCAACAAATGTTCGTACAAAACAAAGGTTTGGGAAATTTGCGTTCTCGTTTTTTTTCTGAATCTCAAAAATGTTCCCGTTTCCAAAAAAAAACCATAGATTCAACAAATGTTCGTACAAAAACAAAGGTTTGGAAAATTTGCGTTCTCATTTTTTTTCTGAATCTCCAAAATGTCTTGTTTCCAAAAAAAATCATATTTCCATCAAATGTTCATGTTTTGGAAAAATTCTCGAAATTCTTTAAAAATTTCAAAAGATTCAAAAAATGTTCCCATTATTGAAAATTATTCACTTTCGTAAAAATCAGTTCATATTTTCAAAAGTGCTCCGAATTGTTTTTTTTAAACACCCTGCTACGGTGATAATGTCATCTGTGCCGCTCTCTACAGTGATTTTTTTTCGGTCGCTCTGTGCATACGGGTTTGCAGAAACCCACCAAATCGCTAATTCTTTGCAAAAAATCAACATTTTCACTAAACCTCTTGCAGAAAGCACTGATCATCCACTTTGGCTCGTTTAAATGTGTTTATAACAGATGGAACCAGATCGTCAGAGCTGACTTGGCAAAAAAAATGACACACACACCCCTCGAATCTACAAACGCAATCAGCTCCTCCCGATGTTGGCCTTGTCCGCCCGCTCAGATCCGTCGTTGTTGAGCTCGGTTGCGACGGGATCCATCGAGGGGAGGTGCTGCAGCCACGGCTCCTCCTCTGGCAAGGATGGCGCCATGGTATCCCAGCTTCGGCTGCCGTCGATTTGTGGACCTCTTCCTCTGGCACCGTCCACTCGTCGGCTCTACTCGCAGGAAGGGTGTCCCCTAGGGTGGGCAGCATCTCGCCTGGCGTGGGTACGGACGGGGAGGTCTCGTCGCCGGCCGGTGAGGCCCTGGCGCGGTGGCAGGCGGCATTGTTGGAGAAGGGAGAGAGACAGCGGAGTTGGAGAGGGAGAGGGGGCGGCGGCGGTGCCCTGTGCACCGGCGACCTCGTGGCAGTGAGTTGCGGGGAAGCCCGGGCTTAGCGACGGGAGGCTAGATGGTTGCGGGCCTGGAAGAGGCACCGGAGACGGGCGGAGCCGCCGGTCGCCAGGAGCGGAAGAGCATGGAGGTTAGGCCCCATCCACGGTGCCAAGCGGCCATAGCATCCCGACGAACGACAGGCAAAGGGCGCCTTCGTGGCTTCAAGGACGAGCTCCCGGTGGC